TGACACACCAACAAGACTGGTGGTCCCTGGTCCCTGGTGCTGAATAACACATCAACAAGACTGGTGGCCCTGTCCCTGGTGCTAAATGACACACCAACAAGACCGGTGGCCCTGTCCCTGGTGCTGAATAACACATCAACAAGACTGGTGGCCCTGTTCCTGGTGCTGAAAACACACCAATAACACTGATGGTCCTGTCCCTGGTGATGAATGACACACCAACAAGACTGTTTAACTGTCCCTGAATGACACATCAACACTAGTGGCGCTGAATGGTGACGCTGAATGACCATGGTGCTGAATGACACATCAACAAGACTGATGTCCCTTTCCCTGAATGACACATCAACAACACTGGTGGTCCTGTCTCCGGTGCTGAGCTTCTCGCCATTTAAGGAAACGGTAATTCTCTGCCAAGAAGTAAAAATGCCATACATGCAAATTAATAAAACCTGCTAAATATGAACTGTCATTTTTCGTGGTACTGTTCGGCCATGGCAAAAATGGGACATTCTGAGTGCCGGGCACGAATTTCTTTTGTCCAAATAAAGGATGCGAACCATGGGGGGGGGGGTCAGAGAATTAAAGAGACAGACACGAACGGGTAAAATCAGTCTGGTTAAATACAAATAACTCTTTAATACTGTATATTATTTGTGTTCGTAATAGCGTCATGTCTCTTACTAATGTAAAGAACTGTTATTATTTAGGATATGTTAACAGTTTCATTCATGTTATTGTCAAGGATGTACATGTATACGAGACAGTACGCAGGTGTTATGTGCACAGGTATATGGACTTTGCATAATTTTGTGAATTTATTTGTCATAGGAAGAAATGTTCAGAAAAAAGACTGGTACAATGTACAAGAAAGTTCACGACTGTGATTAGGATAGGGGTGTCAACAACTATTAGCACTGCTAAAAGTAGATTTTTTCTCTCATTTCGTTCGAGAATCCTTTGTTGTAGTTTCTACAAAGCCTCAACATCATGGTAATGAGCCGTGTTTTCTTCTCGGATGAGAGTTATCCGAAATTGAAAATATATTAGTGGTAAAATAACCCCTTAAACCTTTATAGTACACCCCTAACAATGCTTTATCACGTCTGTTCTGGAACAATGTAAGGCGCGAAGCCCTGACGACCACAATCGAACACCTTGGTAACGCCACCAGACCACTGCAACCTCCGAGACGAACGGACGTGCGCGCCGCTTCTCTGCCAAATACTTGCTTCCCGTTTTGACCAGCGCTCGCGTTAGAGCCACACACTCCGGGAAAGTGTTCATTAATCTTGCCTGCACTCTGAGGTGAAATAATGGCGCCGTAAACACCGAGGCTAAAAAGTTAGGAGCAGCTGAATAGTTGCCCATCATCAGAGAAAATCTTGAGGATTCACCTGACGACATCCTGCAGCACCACTAATCTCCGCTAGAGGGCGTTCCGCGCTCACCCCAAAGTCTCCTGGGAAATCTGAGCTCCTCCTTCCATTTCTACACTGCAGTCGCACCGAGCAAGATGGGTTAGACTCAAGTCACGACTCCGCCGGTCCTGAGTGCCTTCAGGGGCACTTGGGGGCAAAAGACTCTGTCATAGAGAAAATCAGAGAACTGTTGTTTTGTTAATCACAAACTTTATAATTTGTTTATGGACTATATTCTTCGTTCTGACAAAATTGACTTTGTTCAAGCATCAAACATCGAAGATCATTCAAGGTAAGATATAAGAGAGTTGTTAAGTTATGATGATTTCAAGTGTTTAGAACTGGAAGGGTGGAGTTTTAAGGGTAGAATTCATGACTTTGGGCCGTGTGTAGTACATTTGTTACCGTCACAAGGTCCAGTGGCCGGCTGTGGTGGTTCATGGTTCTGGTCCAGAGACGACAACTGGATTGACCGGGACGTGTTTCAGCGGTTTGACCGCCCCCCTCCCCTCACACGTTCGTGCAGCGACAAACCGTTAACGATGGCCAATTTAGAACTCGTAGACACGTAACGTACAAGTATGTCCAACTGTTTAAGTGGGACGCACACCTGTGAACGCCTGTAAAAATATTATTTCTTGAAGTTAATTGTTTATTGCCCCATAACTCGTACTGTCTGGGTTACGTTGATCTGGCATGGGTTAATGTCATAAACAATTGATGTTTTCTGATATCTTGAGCTATGGGATGAAATGAACAATCTTCTTGTGTACAAAAGTGGACTTAAGATATTCTCGTGGAGCATATTATATCAATTGGTTGGGTTACCACTTTCAGTTTCACTTTGAAGATCTTTAAACTCATTATAAGTGTTCCATATGTAAAAGAATTATCAGTTCTTTGCCTGCATGTTGTATATTATAACTATATTGTGAGCCAGTCCACCAAATCAGACAAGGTTTTCATCAGGCATTATTTACAATTTTTTCACTTTTCATCTTTCAGTAGTTAGTATTAAACAACAAAAATCAACATGAGCAACTCTAAGTCTAAGAAGGAAAGCTATGCTCTGCGCCAGCAGAAATACAGTAACGCTATCATCCGGGGCCGTCGACACGTCCCCACCCCTGAAGCCGTCCCACTGTCCTCTCTCCTGGATGCCCCCCCACTGTCTCCTGTACCACTGCCTTCACCCCCCAGGGAGCGTATACCTAAGTGGGACGACCCGCCAAGACTGGTCACCAACCTAAACAGGAAACAACCAGCTCCTCAGGGTGGATTCACGGCAGCGAACAGGTAATTATCAAGTTTCGTGTACACCTGTCCTGATTAATAGGAAAGGTGTCAAGTTTCATGTACACCTGTCCTGGTTAATAGGTAAGGTGTCAAGTTTCATGTACACCTGTCCTGGTTAATAGGTAAGGTGTCAAGTTTCATGTACACCTGTCCTGGTTAATAGGTAAGGTGTCAAGTTTCATGTACACCTGTCCTGGTTAATAGGTAA